GTGACGTCTGTGAAGCAGCGCAGAGATCCTTGTTCTGTACCCCCAACGGACTCAACAAATTACTGGAGGGGGATTTTAAATTATTTTCCTTTCATATTGATTGGCAAATCGACAATGGCTTTTTTATCAGGCCAATCATGACGCGTACTCAAACCTTGGTACACAGGCGGGGGGCCCAGAACAAGGTCACAGACGGACTTTACCAGAGTTTAGTTTTGTCCGTGGCACAGGCTGTGTGATAATTTTTTATGGGTCAAAATTTATGATTTTATCAGGCACGTTCCTATTTAAGTGTTTTTGCTTTATAGCTGTTTTTAGGGGAAAGAATGGTGTTAGGTGGTCTTAGCCAATAAATTCAACAATGTGACGTCATAATGACAGTACATTACGTCATTGTTTTAATCTAATTTTACCTGGATGTTGAAAATGAGTGCATTTAGTGGCCCTATCATGGGTGGTGTTAAAGTTGTGTAGGGAGTCACCAAATCCCTCCGGTCGTAAGCAAAAAAAGAAGTGCAATCTGAATATTTTTGATTAATAATTAAGTAGGGAGAAACGTTCGACATATGAGACTTGTGATCTGAAAACCGTTTTTTACTTCAATTTGAAACTGCTCAGCCTTTCTTCCCTTGTCTATCGGCCAGAAATGATTCAACTTTGGAACAGCTTCCAGTCGTGGAACGTTTCACGTTCGCAAGGAGCCTAATGCCAGAGCCCGCAAAGCAGTTTTTCAAGAGCGGGTTCTACTGTATTCAAGTGCTATTAGGGGTCAACCATTTTACTTCTAAGGGGGGTTGGGGGGGGGGGGAGGCTTGGGTGATACATGGCGAACGCCCTTTTTTTTCCCAACCCCTTTATGCTTATTCACCAGAAATTTTTTTTTCCTTGGAGTAAGTACATGCTTGCATGGTATTTTTTATTCCTTCAACACCTTGGAAGATTTTTTTTTGCGTGAACAGGGTGAATGGGGTTGAAAAGTAGCCTTGTCATTATAAAGCAAAATATACGCAAATTTGCTTTAAAACTGAATATAAGAACAGTGAGATGGGGAACCCTTCGCCATCTTGGATTTTACCAAGAATTAGAAATCAGGTTAAAACCTCGAGAAATGGTAATTTTTTGTACTTTACATGAAAAATAACACATAAATAAGCACTTTGCATGGTTTTAGCCACAAGATATACTTTTATATATTGTTGAAAGAAGTTGAAGAAACATATATTTTCATCAAAAATGGTTTGACCACTCGCTTTTTATGACGTCATATCTTGTAACCATAGCAACTGAACATCACTAAACTTGTCTCAAAATGTGTGTGAGATGAACGAACAGCTACTGAAAACGACAGGAACTGATGTTTTATCCTCTAGGGAAAAAACTCAATAAAACTTCATGGGGGTGGTATCCCCCCCCCTACATTTTAACTTTTCAACGTTTTCCGTCGTCAGTCACTTTTTGAGTGCTAAGATTTCCCTTGAATGGAGGTTAAACCCGGATTTCAGGACCCAGAAATTATCTCCCTTTCCCTTGAATAGAGGTGTCCCCTCAAAAGAGGTAACAGATACAAAGATTATGTGAACATTTTTCCGAGACCAAACTTTGTGTCCCCTGAGTAAAGGTATCCCTTGAATAGAGGTGTCCCAAAAGAGAGGTTCCACTGTATTCCCGGGAGTATAGACTCATCAGTTTCATCACCATTTTCCGAGGCTATATAATAACTTGTCACTCTGACTATTCCTCTTGAAGCCTAGGTTCATAAATTTGTCACGTGGATAGCGCGTGGATAGTAGCGGCCTGCAAACTCGATTGGCCCATACAGTATACATATTTCTATTTATATATTTGTGGTTCCCGCGATGACGTTAGCTAGTGATAAACCCTTGACTGTTTGCGGCAGTTTTGGCGATCAAATATGCAAACGTATTTTTCAGAGACTATTGAAACAATTTAGACCAGTAGCTTCGAAATTAGGGCGAGAATCGAGATTTTATAGACATTTGTCAGTGCGTCTTACTTCAGAGACAAATTTACTTAGGTCGCGCGGGTATGCTTGTCGTGCGTTTCAGTTTGTCTTTTTACCGTCAAAACCTTTTTTTCCGTAAAATACCTTTGGATTCATGTTACAAGGAGAAAAACTCACAAGGAACTTGTTTCTTTCCCCCCTGATGGATCAAAACTGGTTTCAGCTCCGTTAATCGATCGGCCGCGCCCGTGCCCGGTTGAAGCTGAGTTAAATTTACATGCGAACTTACCTTTTTTCAGTTTCCATTCGGCGATTTGAAAAATGCTAAATATTCGCCATGGAACAGCAAAGAACAAGAGCAAGAATACTAAGAAGAAGAACAAGAACAGGAAGAACAAGAAGACGACGACGACGGCAAGACTGAAGAGAGAGAAGTAGGAGTCTACACGACCTGATATTCGCGGCAGGTCACCCATCCAGTTTCCCAGGCGTAGTTAATCGATAAACCAATAGTAATCGATATCAATTATCGATGAATATCGATTTCCGATATCAATCGATAGAAAACGATCAAGAAAAAAGTTGTGATTTTTATTAATATTGATTTCCTATAGAAATCGATTATGATTAATTTATCGATTGTTATTGATTACTATCGATTATTTGCGGAAAAGACTCAAGTCATTCGGTAAAGGTTCAGCATTAACACGATATTGTCTGTACGGTATTATTGAGTCATTCAGTCGTGATATTATGCAGTTTTTGTAATTGATAAAATAGTAAAAAGATTTGTATGCACTGCAGTGACATAACAGCTTTCGCCGAGCCAAGTACGACCCCTTGTGCCGAAAGATGGAAGCGATCTGGAGGTCTTCAATGCCCGTATACAGCTGTTTCGAGAAAGGTTCTCGGAAAAAGTGCACGCGACAATCCCGAAAGGTATTGTGGGTGGTTTTTAGGTCACTGGTTTTCAAAGAAATTTCAAAGAGTGGCACGAGAGCACACATGTCCAATACTCTCGACCAGATTCCAGTGGACAAAACCTGGAGTCCGACGGAGTCTAGTCTAGACATCTCTTTCTGAGGGATGCCAAAGTCCTTCTGAGGGATTCCATTTGCAACACACCTCGCTCCTTCTAAGGATACCAAACCCCTTCTGAAACGTCTCCTTCGGAGGGATGCCAAAATCCTACTGAGAGATTCCATTTACGAGTTTCAAAATAGATAACTCCGTCGATTCTTCCCTCGGAGGAATTCCAAATTCGCACTTCAGGTTACGTTTTTGCTTTCTTATGCTGTGATTTAATATCGAAAGATTCCACATTTTCAAGGAACAGTGGAATTTAAGACAATTCCATATGCCTTTTCTAGCCGTTCGAATTCTTTACTCGTAAATTCTTTTAGAAAGTCAATGATCGAAAGATGCGCCACCTTGGCCATTTTGTCGATCAGGCAACTCTTGTTTCTAGTCCCCTCGAACGCATCCTTCGCGTTCCCAACAGTTCGCGTTTATACCTGATCCTGTAGCACGCTCACTTTGTCAAAGCTAATTGACTTGTTTCACTTCTCCTGGGGTATAACAACGAACTAACATATCGAAATTCGGGAGCTCGACGAATAGAGAACGCATATCGCTACCGCCATTCGCTACACAGATATTGTTATACTGAATTATCTCAAATACGAGTTCGCTTTTAAAAAGAAATTACCTCATGATGCGATGCAGTTTCTGATGGATGATCGGACTTCACTAGCCTTTTCTCGCGAACCAAACAATTAAGATTACATACCCATTTTCCCGACCTCTTATACACCTCTCCACTGCAAAAGACTGATGCAGTAGACTCCGTTTCACACTTTTCCACCTCGTTCAACATGATGACAATTTTTGACCTGACGTTACAAATAGAAAATGTTCTTCTCCAGGCATTCGAATCTATTCAAATCTAATAGATACAATGGCTTCCATTGGAACGCCTTTTCACCCCCTTATACAACAGGAGTGGAATTTTCTAAGTCTCTCACGAATAGAAAAAAGTACTTTTCCATCGGAATCTATTCGTTTCCAATGGATCCGATGGACTCGATCGGAACGACTTTCCACCCCCTCATGGCATGAGTGGAATCCATCTAACATGAGTGAAATCATTCTAAGTCTCTAACGAATAGAAAAATGAACTTTTCCATCGGAATCTGTTCGTTTCCAATGGATCCGATGGACTCGATCGGAACGACTTTCCACCCCCTCATGGCATGAGTGGAATCCATCTAACATGAGTGAAATCATTCTAAGTCTCTAACGAATAGAAAAATGAACTTTTCCATCGGAATCTATCGTTTCCAATTGATCCGATGGAATCCATCTGAACGACTTTCCACCCCCTTCATCCAACATGAGCGGAATTTTTCTAAGTCTCTCACGAATAGAAAATGAACTTTTCCATCGGAATCTATTCGTGTCCAATGGATCCGATGGACTCCATCGGAACGACTTTCCACCCCCTTCATCCAACATGAGCGGAATTTTTCTAAGTCTCTCACGAATAGAAAATGAACTTTTCCATCGGAATCTACTCGTGTCAAATGGATCCGATGGACTCCATCGGAATGACTTTCCACCCCCTTCATCCAACATGAGCGGAATTTTTCTAAGTCTCTCACGAATAGAAAATGAACTTTTCCATCGGAATCTATTCGTGTCCAATGGATCCGATGGACTCCATCGGAACGACTTTCCACCCCTTTCATCCAACATGAGCGGAATTTTTCTAAGTCTCTCACGAATAGAAAATGAACTTTTCCATCGGAATCTGTTCGTGTCCAATGGATCCGATGGACTCCATCGGAATGACTTTCCACCCCCTCATCCAACATGAGCGGAATTTTTCTAAGTCTCTCACGAATACAAAATGAACTTTTCCATAGGAATCTATTCGTGTCCAATGCATCCAAACACTTGGTAGCACTTTACACCACGAGACTTCCGGTTTTCCGATGGAAAGCAAGAGGATACGACTGGATTCTGGTCGACAGTATTGGACAACCCTCTTATCTTTAGCCACTAAGACATGGAATGATCGCTTCTGCTGAAGAATTGAGTTTATCACTTCAGCAAACTGACTTAAAGGATTCTCACCAAACACATCGTACTCATGTAAAATCTCAACGACAAGACCATGATCATGACATGCAATGACCGCATCATCCACAGCAACATTATAAATACCATTGCCTTCGATTGACTCATCATAAATCTGATTTCCAGTCCTGATTGCTTTTATTACAGCTTCTTCCCACGGTAAGCTAAGGGGCTGTCCAACAGCTGGTGTTGGTAAACTGGACTGTTGATAACTGGAACCAAAACAAAGTGCGATAAAAGTGCATGCATTGCTGCTTGTTCTGCCATCGATCGTTGACTGGCTAACATTGTCGGGAAACAACCACTCTGTGATGCCGCACCCAACATTTGTTCCAGGCGCATATGGTGGGACAAGTACTGATGAAATGCTGGAGCTCACTGGTGGTGATATTGTGGCTGGAGGTGCCGGTGCTGGTGCTGGTGCTGGTGCTGGGGATGGTACTGTGGGTGCCATTGTAGATGCTGATGCAGGTGAAGATATGCTGGAGAGGCTTACAGGAAGTGATGTGGTTGGTTCAGGTTCAGGTTCAGGTTCATTTACTTCACACTATTTACAGAGAATAACATAGAAAGAAACGTATAGTTACTATAATAGATGATTACAAAATAAAGTAACTAAAGTACGGGTTATAGAATATTGTGTGTGGTGGACAAAGTAGCGAAAGCTTTCTAAGTAACCCCCACTACTTTTAAATAAAATGAATTGAAGAAATGACGAGCCTAGGACTAATGTGCGGGACAATATTACATGTATAAAGGTACGTTAGAGATATACGGAACCAAAATAGAAATCAAGACAAAACAAACTAGCCAAAAAAAAAGGGAGAAAAGAAATGAAAACAACGACAACATCAACACCAGCGACAGCATCAAACACAAAATTAATACAAGCTGACAATTATTACTATTTTTTTAAAGACTATTGTTATTATTAGATAGTTAGGTATACATTTCATTATTAAACGGAACCAATGTTATTTGATTGTCAAGGGATCAGGTGGGCCTCACAAAGTTTCTTAAACTTGTTAAATTTTTTGCAGCGCTTGTTCCAGTGCCAAGGGGACAGTTTCCCACATGACAGAAGCAGAGTACTTGAAAGTAGATTACCTGTGTTAGTTCTGGAGGTGCTGGTACTGGGGCTGTGGGGAAAGCTGTAGATGCTGATGTTGGATATGAGGATGGAGCTGTTGAATGGTGTGAAGAACCACAGGGGGATGTTTGCCCAGATGCTGAGTAAAACAGAATTTTGAATAAAACTCTCATTTAGTAGAAACCCAACGATGATATGCTCTACAAAATCAGGCTAATATTGACGGCTATGTCCTTTTTTCATGTATTAATGGTACCATAAAATAAGTGGAAAATAAATATTATTTAGATGTATCAAAATAGTTTAAGGATTTTATCAAAACATCTAGACTCAAAAAGTAATATTATAATACTGTAGTATTTCTACGTGGTAATAGTAAATTATTCCCCGCGTGCAAAACATCTGTCAAAAGCCTTGCATATACATGTAAAAGTACTTCACATTTTCTTAAATTAAAAGTGTCGCATTCACATTTTTGAGTGAATAATTATTATTCAATAATAATTATTAAAAGTATCAGCAATCGGAAATTCAAAATCCAAAATTTCTAGGAGTAATACATTCTCCATAAAATTTCAAGCTTTTGACTTCACTCTTCAAAAGAATATTATTTTGGTACTATTAGTGGATTGATATTTTCAAGGAAAGGTGTGATTTTGCTACTTCCTTTCAATATTCAGAAGTAGCATTTTGCAACTTCATCAGGGAATTCCCAAAAGAGGGTTTGTCCTTAGAGAAACTGATCAATGATTTGAAAAAATTGTTATCATCCAGAACTGGAAATGCAGTAGCCTGTTCCAGGCTCCGAGATGGTGGTGGAAAGTCGTTCAGTAATAAGAAATGCGAAAAACGCGCGGGGGCTGCGGAGAGACAGGGCGGCAGACCCTGATATACCCTCTGATTGGTCAATTGTGACAGTTAACATCATCACCTAGTAGCGTGGTCATCAGTTTGCCATCACCAAGATGGCTAACGCGAATCGCGCGTGTGATCTTCATGAATCCGCCTGCTTGTGCTTTAGACGAGTGTCTGCGACTTGGCTCGTGGCAAAGATGTTTTCGGTATTATGCCCACCGGTTTCGGCAAAAGTTTCATCTTTCAGCTATTCCCACACTTGGCTAAAGCTGCTCTAACCCTAGAAAACTCTACGATGATAGTCGTCTCGCCGCTGATATCTATAATGCGAGACCAAGTGGAACAACTGAAAAAGCCTGGATTTTCGGCCGCCGCTATTTGGCATTGGTGAAGAGGGAAAGGAGGACGAGAAGAAAGCGAGAGAAGGAAAGTGCGAAATTGTTTTCAGTAGTCCGGAGTACTGGTTGATCACAAAGTGGCAATAACAAAACAGTCCAAAGACTGTTAAGCTTATTCCGCTATTACCAAGGGAGAAACTAAGCACTCCAGTCAAAAGACTCACACTATTTTCAGAGAAACACTATCAAGCTGGAGTTTACTAAGTCACAAAAAATTATGCAATTCTACTTAGTCGATGTAGCTTAAGTTTAAGCTGCACTTCATTCTTATAATTCTGGATCTGTAAATCACTATCCATGATAATTTAACATTCTGCAAAGAAAACTAATGAGCTGGGCCCAGCGTGATACAACACTGCAGAAAAATATTACATCAATTCACGGACTAAAGAAAATCACTTAGTTAGTCAGATCCAGAAGGCACTTTGGAGAAAATCAAAACCCTTATTCAGCCGCAATAAAAAGCTTTGGGCTTCAAATTAGAGGTCAAAGAAAATGCCCTCTCATCAGAGGACAAATCCTGCCCACCAGAAACAAACACCACAGTAAATCGATATGTGTACCATGACCTCTCAGTGTGAAACAAGCGGCTAAAGTCACATTTGCTCAGTGACAATGTAGAACCTTCCAGAGCATAACCTACCCAACAGAGGAAAAAACTTACCGCTCCCTTTTATTGCTATAAACTAGAGCCAAAAAAACGGATGCTCTCACAGGATAACGAATTCGAAGACATAAATTTCCACACACCGCACAAGGAGTTCGCGTCGCGTGCAATGCTCATGCGAGAAACTTGAGAATGATTGTATCTAACTGAAGTGTTAACAGTTTTGACAGCCGAATCCAGACGTGATAAAAATGGGCGGAAGAGGGTCGTTAAAGAAATGCGAACAGGCTCTCTCTCCCATTGCTCCCGCCGCCACCGCCCCCTTTCCCAAGTCGTGCGCATCTTATTTTTTCTTTGCTTGTTTTAATACTTTCCCAATATACCATCTGAGAGCCTGGCACAGGCTAGAAATGCAGTAAATCTTGGTGACAGTTCTATTAGAAACACTACTAGCTGATACAACTGTAAAATAAGGTGGCTTCAAAGTGTGAAAATGTTAAAAAACATACTGAAGATGAGCTGTCTCAGACTGCTCTAAGAGAAGTCACCAATGTGACACAAAGGTGAACAAAGAAATACGCTCACGTTCTTTCTTCTGGGCATCATAAGTTAAAATTAAATAATAAATATTGTTTTACTGGTTTTAAGAACAAGTAGAACTACCTGCAAGTTTTGTACATTCAGAAAGTTGTCTTGCTATGTCTTTGTCATCATCTATATCCATTTTGAAGGCCTTCTTCAGACCCAGTTCAGCCTTGGAATACTCTTTCATCATTTTGAATGCCATACCTCTTCTGTAGAGTACCTTTACATAGGTGGTTCTGTCTAGATCCAACTTAAGAGCCTCATTGCAGCTGGCTGCAGCATCTTGTGGTTGATTTAACTTCAGATAGCACTGGGCTTTATTAGCAAAAAGTACTGCATTCTTTGGACAAACAACAAGGCATTTATCGTACACTTCAATTGCTTCCTTGAACTGTCTTTTCTGTACCAAATTCTTTCCTTTCTCCTGAAGCACCATCTTCCTCTTAGGAAAGGACAACCAGCTGTCTGGAAAACTAACCCCACCTTCTGTCACTTGATTTATACTTGCAACATTACAAAATTGAAAGACATCTTCACAAATAGCTTTCAAATGCTTTCTCAAACCATCCACAGCCATCCGAAAAACCATCTGCTGTTTTGGTTCAACTATGGCAAAGCATGCACAATCAACAGTTGGGAATTGTTCGTAGATATATCGACATTTGTCAAATATAAAAACATCTGTAAACATCTGCCTCTCCTTTGCAGTGTAGTGGAGGCGCAATAGCTTTTCTAAAACCGGAAATGATGGGTAAGCCAACTGGCCATAAAGAAGGCCAGCTACTAGATATAATGTGGCAGAATAGGTTGCTTCATCACAACAACTAGGAAACTTGCCACGTTCATTATCAACAGCCATCGCTAGTGGTCCCAGGCATTTCCGCTGAAAGTCAGAATTTGAAAAACGGAGAATGAACTCCTCAGATGAAAATAGCAGTGGAGTCAACAGTAGCCATGAAATATCATACTTCTTTAAAAAATATGATTTCCAGTCTGGAAAAATTTCATTAACCCAGGATTTACAAAGAGGGTTGTTCGTTGCTTCCTCTGAATTCAAAACAGAACCAATGTTTTGCAAGTATGATTGTTTAGCAGTGGATTTGCAAGAAGGTATCAAGGCTGCTGATGCTGCTTGCAGACCATGTATGTCTTCCTTGTCTTTGCTCGAGCTTTGACTATCTTCCATGAAATAGGATTTCACTTCTTTAAGAAAATTATCTCTGCTCGAAAGACTTTGATCCCACAATGACTTTTTTGCTGATAAAAGCATTCTAAATGCAGGAACATACAAATAGGCTGAATCTATCACTTGATAAGTGACGTAATCACTATAATTTTCCTCATCTGTCCTTTCGTTGAGAAAA